AGTGGTTGAAATACAGGACTTTTTAACTGCTGTGCCTCTGTCACACTTCTACTTGGTACATCGTCGATTTTCAAAGATTTTATGATTTCTTCAGATTGTTTTCCGGTTAATTCATTCTTAGATTTCGAATGAAAAGCTTTTTTCGTAGTGTGATGATGTAGGTGGTAATTGTGATGCTGGTTTAGCTGAGGTCTTCCTGAATGGTGTGAACCCAAAATCGTAGATGGACGAGAGGGTAAGCTGATTATTGATGTAGCGGAAGTAGTAGAAATAGTACTTGATGTTGAGAAGGGACGATTAGTAGAAATCGTTGTTGGATTTTGATTTACCACGACTACTGTCGACGAAGAACTACCAGAAACAGTTGAAGTTGGAGTTTTCTGAGTTGTTACTGAAGAAGGCCTATAGGAAGTTGTTAATTCAGAAACCTGTTGAGTACTTTGAAAGGGCAGTGAGTGGTTATTAGAAGGTGAAGATAAACTAACATTAGGTCTAAATATTGAAGATTCGTTGTGAATATGAACATGATGGTAATGATGGTGATGATGGTGATGGGAATGATTATGAGATGTTGAGTTTGTAATTGGATTGCAGGAGTAACAACCTTGAGGAATAATCACAGGGATAAAACTAGGAGAAGCGTTGTTCGTAGTTGTTGAAGTCGGTCTTGGAGTTGTTGCATACGAATCCTCGAAATGCTTGGTGTATTTGAAGCGTATAAAAANTTATATAGATATTAGTTATAAAAATCAGACAACTATAAAAAATACAACAGCATTATTTGTATTGATTTTTGCAAAATTCTATAATCAAAATATGTTTTCTTTTAGTGGTGCGTGATCTTGATGGTTATGTATATTTTCGAGAAACTGATGGCAGGATTTTAGCAGGAGGCTTTGAACCTGAAGGACAACCTGCTTTCGAATTTGGAAAAATTGAAGGTGAGAAAGTTGTTGATCTTAAATTAATTTTTCATCTTAAAGTACTAATTTCAATTTAAGTTACTAGCAAAAACCGTTTTATGCGCGAAAACTGGGATCATTTTCATATACTACTTGAACAAATATTACACAGGGTCCCAAGCTTACGAAATGCCATTTTATATCGTTTGGTTAATAGTCCTGAAGCATTTAGTGCTGATTGTAAATGGATTGTTGGTGAAGCACCAGAGGTAATACATTTGTTTTTAATACAATAAAAATTAATAGCATTGTTCAAACTTTAGATTGCAAATTATTTGATAGCAGCAGGAATGAAAACCGTCGGATTATCAGCAGTGGGAGGAGTAGGTCAAGCAACAGCTGAATTAATAAAAAATGGTAATACTTCTTTCGATATGTACGAAATAGAAGTGTCTAGATTTTTGGGTTTACATAATAATCGAAAATTTTTGCGAGATCGCGTAAAAGAAGTTGTTGGATTGCATTATGGTCTCATATACCCATATCATGAGTTTAAAACCGGACGTAATCTCCGGACATCTCCTGTTTATCCAAAATTTCGAGAATTTGGGGCAGTTTTTGGTCAAGTTATGGGTTATGAAAGACCCAATTGGTTCGATCCCGATATTAAAGGTAATATGTAAAAAACATTATTATCATCATTATTATTATTAATTATTGGACACCTACAGAGGGTAATATAGATTCGATCTGCGAAATACGTTTTTTTAATTGTATTTCTTAATACTAACTATAGCATTTGTTTGTAATAAAAACAGTGTCAGAAGAAGAAGAATCTGGATGGTTTATTCCATATCGTACAGCTTATACAAATACTTTTAAGAAGCCTCCATGGTTTGACTTGGTATCATCAGAATATGAAGCTTGTCGAGAAAGAATTGGAATAAGCGATTATTCTTCGTTTACAAAAATTGATTTGTGGGTATGACATTTTATTGAATACATATATTTATGTAGTATTCTTTGTATTTGCTTTAGGTCTTTTAAAAAAAGTTATGAAGTAATCGTTATGTACATTGTTTACTTTTAGTCTAAAGGAAACGAAGTGGTAAACGCCTTACAATATGTATGTTCTAATGATGTAGATGTTCCTTTAGGAAACATAATTCATACGGGAATGCAGAACCATCATGGCGGTTACGAAAATGATTGTTCTCTTATACGTCTGTCAGATAATCAGTAAGAATAAAAAGATACACTGGAATTTCTTAAAAACTGCCAAAACGTTTATTTCAGTTACATGATGGTAGCCCCTTCCATACAGCAAACAAGGTGCAAAGTTTGGTTGCAAAAACATTTACCTTCTTCTGTAGCTGTGTCAGATGTGACTAGTATGTTTACTGCTCTTTGTATTATTGGGCCTTTTACTCGTACAATGTTATCTGAACTTACTGATACAGACCTAAGTCCCAAAAATTTTCCGTTTTTTACATATAAATTGCTAGATGTTGGATTAGCTAACGGAATAAGGACTTTAAACATAACTCATACCGGTGAATTAGGATATGTTTTATACATACCAAATGAGGTAATTTTGAAAAATAAAGTACCTGCAATTATATTTCCATCAGCGAAAATTTAATTCTTTTTAGTATGCACTTCATGTTTATTCAAGGCTGATGCAGTTTGGAAAANTACTCATCGTTTCAGATATAAAGCCAAGGTGAACCTACATTCACCAAAATTACCCACCAAGTTTCCAGATATCGAACGTGAAGCTTATTTTGCAACAAGAGATAAACATGAGGAACCTATTGTTGTTACCCGGAGAAAAAGTGAGAATTAGTATGTCCATTTATTAATGTGATAATTTTAATTTATAAATAATTTATGTGCTATTTAAACTGATACATATACTTTTTAAATAAATTTATTTTAAAACAACGCTTTACATATTGTACACGTATACAATGTTCTTGTGTGTTTCTATTTTGTTTCATCTGCTACTTATTTAGTGACGTACTTAATTTGCTTTTCTTGTCGATTTCTTATAGATTTACCCTTAAATTAGAAAAAGCATTGAAGTTAATCTTCTACTGTGCTTTTGTTCTTGCTGAACTTTGTTACTTGTTGACCTAGGAAGATTTTATAATTATGGTGGGAATGCAGGCTATAATATTTTTATTGATATAAACAGAGAAAAACGTTTCTCATTACTTTAACATACTAGTTATTATACCTTTTGATTTAACATTTTAGCATGTTTAATTTTTTAGTGTATTTATTATTTTTCTTTTCAGCTAAATGTAAGCCTCATGGAACGCACCCTATTTATCCATAGCATAAATTAACATTATCGTCTATCTATGATTATTTTTTGTGTCATTTTATTATTATTAAGAAGGGGTACAGCGTATTTATGTACAATTAATATTGGAAGACCACAATAGTGAAACCGATCTGTGGCCGTGGGGTGGAGAACCCTTTTACAGAAATGGAAAATGTGTTGGAATATGTACTACATCTGGTTATGGATTTACTTTTCAAAAACAGGTATTTTTCATGACACTATTTTTATGCTTGTTTTTAAAGGAAACAAACATAAGTTTTACCAAATTTGTGGTTTGTTACAGGTTTGTTTAGGATTCATTCAAAACATTGATGATGATGGTGTGCCCCAAAAAGTTACCAATGAATACGTCCTGTCAGGAGATTACGAAGTCGATATTGCAGGAATTAGGTAAAGCAATTAAAAACAATTAAATAATGAAGATATAACATTCTAGTAACAATAAATAATCTTGGATAGTTCCACAACAATAACAAAGTTGTGAAACTATCCAAGACTTTGTATCATTTATTTATTAAAAACAATAACTAAGAATGTAGTACTTAACGGAAGGCTAAAATATTTTGCTTGTCACCTTTTATATTTCAGTTTCTGATTTTTTAATTGAGATAATCGCCATCAGGTGTCTAACTCTTCGTTATTCTTTTTATAAATCATTACAAAATAAAGAGGTAAACTTTTCTAATCTAAAAAGCAGGCGTCATTATTTTTATTCTGTCATCTATAAAGTTATCATGTGTCACATTCGAATTTAAATCGTTAGTAAAAAAATCACAATGTTAGCGAATACAGCCGTTTATCGCGTAATTATGAACGCGCTCGAACGACTTGAAAAAGTCACTAATAAGGTCAATAAATCCGACGGCTCTTTAAACGACGTCAAGAAAAGGATAAGAACTCTTAAGGAGAAAAACGAAAAATATCTTGAGGAAATACTCCAGCAGGCAGAAGAAGGCAAGAACATGATAAACATATACAAGAAACAAATAAACAACCTTAAAAATAAATTATCCAAAGAAACTAAAAAAGTTGAAGAAGTTACCGTTCAACTAAAAGCCCTTGTAACGAAGTTGAACAAATTAACTGAAGAAAATCAAGAACTTTTAATACAACGCGATAAACTTTTTAAAGAAAACAAATATCTAAAGAAAAAACGATCACGCAAAAAAATAGATTTTGGCGAAGGTGACCAAAGCTCATTAAATAAATTGAATTCAGTCAGTGCAGGTGACGAATTGAAAAAGAAGGAAATGAAAGAATGTGGAACTTTGTACGAAAATGATACATTTAGTAAAACTAATACAGTTTCTTCCTGTTTCTGTTATCCAAATGAAATTCACAGTAAGTTTTCAAGTGAGGGTGTTGGTAAAAAAAAGAAGTCGCTTAAGAATAAGGAAAATAATATTTCCTCTAAAAAGTATAAAAAAAGAAAAGTAGCCGTGACAAATAATAATGAATCCCTTGGGATTAGTGAAGATACTAAATCAATATTGGAGAAGAAAACTCCGTCGTTTATGGGAGAAGAAGTACTTAACGAAATACAGGACCGATTGAGGAAAAGTAAACATCTTCTTAAATTAGCGAACAGTTTTAATGACGAACCTTCACTGAAGACAAGTATAAAACGTTTAAGGAATTCTCATCCAATAATAGAAGAAAATGAAAGAATGGAGAAAGGACACTCTGAAATATCTGATGAATTTCAAACTGATAGAAATGGTAATCCTTTACCTTTGAGTGTTATAAATGGGGGAAATATAGACTTAATTGAAAAGGGGAAAACAGTTTTAAA